CAGCAATTAATTGATGCTATTTTTGTCCACTCCTCTCAAACATTTCAAATATCATTCAGAGATAAAATTCTTAACAATAAATGTCCTCAAAAAACAACGGATTCATTGCAATCAGTGTAACACAAAACATGACTTTTCTTCAGTTATTATATTGTGTACAATAAATCAATAAATTTCTCATTTGATTGCATTTATGTCTTAAATGTTAGAATAAGTGAATTATGAGATATAGTGGTAATGAGTGATAAATTATCATTATTTGCCGATTGAGTCATCATTATTCACAACAACTCAATACTCCAATAATAACAGGACTTCAATAGATGTTCACTCTTTTCATTATATTCTCAACATTTCGATCAATCATTTCTATCAATTCATTACAAAAACTCTTTATTAGACTTAAAATTATCTTTTATTATAATAGAGAAAATTGTTGGAAAATTGAGAATAAGCTTATATTCTTGAGAATCGATTTTCTTTTTCTCATTATTATAATATTTATAAAACTATTAAAATGTATGTACTGTACAAGTAAAGTACTGAATATATATGCAATGCAATTAAAAATTACAATTTATAAACAAACTTTATACAAATATGATTTGGAAACATTTTATTAAACTAATTTAATTTTTCAAATAAATTATCAAATAGTAATAAAATTATTAAAAATAATATTTACGAAAAGATTGATGAATGACTTAAATTTCAAACCAATGTTTATAATGATTATAAGCTCGAAAAATGGTTTACAAATGTTTAAAATAAATGATAAGAAATAAAATCATAACACACTACAGTATTTTAAACGTAAATCTAAAGCATATTTTGCATATGAAAGTGAATTGAATGCAGAAAATTGTCTTTTCATACATAAAGTGAATGCAAGTCTTGTTTTGCTTATGTCTTGAATTAATTGCTTTTGTCTCATAACTCATGAAAGCAAACATTTACTAAAAGATTTTATTTTGAAATTATTGTCTGAGAAATGCACAGTAAAAGGAAAATTCAATGATTTTTATTGAACATTAGTTATATTAAGTTAGAATTGATTTTTTCATTTAATAGTCGGGTTTAACATTTAGTTGTGTTTCATTTGAACACTACTTTGAATTTTGAATGTTTTACACATAGGAAGCGAATACATGGAATCCTATGATATTTTACATAAAATTCTTGACTATTATTGTGACAATATTGTAGAAAATATTTCAAATTTAAATGATATAAAGAATACATTAAACTCAAGCAGAGAATACTTTCACTAAAACTTTCGACTCAAACAAATTGAAAGTTATGTTCAAAATACTCTTTACTAAAGAGATTGAAATTCTATTATTTATTTAACAAAAGTGCAGTTATTTTCTTAAACTAAATCAATGTTTTACTGAATACTCAACTAAATTAATGTGAAAAAAGGGAGATTTAAAAAAGGAGTCAAACATTGAATACATGGAAAGGAGTCAACAGTATATGGATAGTAGTGTTGAGAGTATATGGATAGTAGTGTTGAGAGTGAGTGTGGAATCTGTATATAAACGTCAGATTGCATTGAGTTGTTAAGGTCTGGACTAAAGACAACACATGAGAACATGTATTCAAAATGTGCTTTGATTTGAACAAAAGTAAAGAAGATGTGCTTTTCTATCGTACAATCAAATTATGTCAATAGAGAGATCGTGTGCTTTAATAAATAACTAGCCTTTCACTCAATGCCTGATACATTAGACTTTAGGATAGGATTCGTTTTTTATTTTTATTACTTTTAACACAATAGTAAGCAATAATTTTTTAGATGCTATTATACCGTACACATACAGTACCATGACAGTACTATGATATCAAGCAATTATTGTATATATATTTTTGCCGTATGTCTTAAATTTGATAAAATCACATGGAATATAGTGTTTTTGAAATCTAATATAAAACTCGCATTAAAACGAAATGCATTTACGTTGTCATTAATATCGTTAAAAATGTAATAATAATAATTGAATAGAAAATAGTTTGGCGTTTATATCCATGTATATTCTTTGAGGTCAAATTTTTTTAATAGCTATATATAGTTGTAAATCACAATAAATTGCTTTTTATGCAACTTATCTATTAATCATCTCATTATTGGTGCTCTGAGTTCCGCCTTATATATCAACCACTTCTACAGTACTATACATTTCACGCAACGATAAAGATTGAGATTTTCAGTCAAAGCTATTCCTTTATATTTGTATCTTTTCTCTCATACTCTGTACTCTTTTATAAGATGTTTAAAACTTGCTGTTAATAACAATATGTTTTTAGATAATTCACAGACTCCCTTTTTAATTTATTAATTTTACATTCGTTGCAATGTTACTTTGGATTTAATATTTAATAATTTATTTTGTATTATGTTCATATTGTATTATGACGCGTTCGTATATACTTATAATTTTGTAATTATAATATTATATACATTCAGTATATTAAGAATTTGTTATATGAGAAAACAAAGAGATGTAAAAAATACTTTGAGTAAAATTTAAAAAATTAAAGTATAAAATTATAAACACTTTGTACAAACTTGAAAAATTATAAAGTTATACTGTATTCAGTTAACTGTTAACATTTTTGTGATTAACCCAAAAACTTTCTCCTGTTTAGTGTTTCAAATATAACAATTCATTTATCACTTCTCATATATAGACAATTTATTACCTTAATTTGAACTTTAAAAAATTAATAGTTTTATATAAACTATAATATAAGTTGAATTAATAATTTTAGCAATTTGTGAATTTGCAATAACATTACACGCATAACACAAAGATATTTAACGATCAATAAACTAATTTAATTTTCAAAACTATTTTCAAGAACAAATTAAAATATGAATGAAATATGCTTTGATGTTGACAATGAAATAAATGCAACAAAGTTTCAAACATGCTTAAAACTGGTAGAGATTCGTCTCATTATTACTGATGTATTTCATGTGATAATTAAGTTTATGCCACCAATTATTACGGCAAAGATTCTCTTATTTTGCGGATTTCCCTCAAGGCTTAAGAGGTGGCAAAGATGTCATCACAACAGATATTATTCGCATGAAAATAGAGTCTATAATTAGATCTGAGAATTATTTATATTAGGAATATATGTCAGACCACAAACATATCTAACATGAAAATTGGATTATTTGGTCTACAGATTAGAACTTCATAATACTTACCGGTAATCAGTATTTCATAACAAACATAAATCCCATCATTAATTAATTACATTGACTCTAATTTGAAGTAAATAAAAGTGCAACTTTTTATAATACTAAACTTAAATTTATTAATCAAAACATCAACGGAAATATAATCAATATAAACAGTTTTGCAATCACTAGAAGTGAAACAGAAAACAGTATTATTAATGAATTAATCAAATGAAATGTATGGCAAAAATAAGGTAGTTTTCAGTTATTCTTTGGAAATGATTGGCAAAAAAGTCAATAGACCTTTTTATAACATAACATTTGTTTGAATTAGTGACTAGTCTTTAATATTTAATAAAATGCAAATAAAAGTGTTAATAAAATATAATACAATTAAATGCTTCTCAAAATTAACAATTAATTATTTAGTGAATGGCTAACAATAAAGCGGCGTTCGCGCCAATGTATTACAAATATATTTATAATGAAAATATATTTAGTTATATTATATAAAACAGATCTGATTTGAACGTTATGTACAATATTACGAGGACTTCATAACTCATTGTATGAATTTCTTGGACAATCTTTTTCCAGTGTTTAATAATTGAGACAAAGATTTGCATTGAAGTGAATGGAGAGCTGGTTGTCGTCAATCTTTGGCATTTGGGCACTCATTCACTACTGATTCAGATATTTATAAATCCAATTCATATATGAGGAGACATTAGAGTATAAGCCGGGCATTAATGGTCGGGCACAACCTATTTTGATTACAACACAACTATAAAATTCAACTCACATTACGAGTAGAGTATGAAAGGGAAAAGAGAGCACAAGAATTAACGTGAAATAACTGCTAATGAAATGATTTTCATATCAATTAATTCAATTAATTGCTATTCTCTTTCAAACTTTTCCCATTATATTCTGCTGTGAATGTCATTATTTCTCGTATAACAGACCTATTCCTGTCGATACAATTCCAGCAACAAAATAATACTCCGGTCCACCAGAAGCTGTAAAATACATACAATTATTTCAAATATGTTAACCGCTAATGAGCTATTGATTTATTCAGAAAATCTAATTATATTAACACATGTGTTAACTACTGGAAAATAACAGCATTCATACCATCATATACTGCACTAAACCGCCGTATGTTTAAAATGCAATCAATAATAAACTCACAATATTTGAGAAGTAGTGGCCCTCCAGAGTCCCCATGACAGGCATCCCTACCACCGATCCTCTGACCGGCGCATATGAGTCTGTCGTGTATTTGCATATCTCTTCCGGCCATTCGGAACCACTGCTGACAGAGTTTGTTGTCAATGATTGACAATTTGACTTTTTGCAACTTTTCACTGTACACCTCACTCTTCTCGGTCTTCTTGCCCCACCCGACCACCACTCCCTCCCGTCCCGCCAGTGATATCACGTCATTGGGTGGGAAGCATACGGGCCACGCGTATTCACTCCAATGGATATCGGCGTCCGTCTTAAGCAGAGCGATGTCGGCGTTGTTAATATTGGCCGGACTTTTGAAACCTGAATGTCGGCTATAGTTGTCGTGAATGACAATCCTCTCGACAGAATAGTCACGTGTGTTGTGATCGTTGCGAAACAAATCGTATTCACCGATTCTGACCACAAAGTTGGAGTTCAACTGACTCTGAACACAATGAGCGGCCGTTAAGATCCAGCGCTGGCCTATTATTACACCACCGCACTGGCCAAGGATGCCATTTCAAGGATATAACGAGCAATTTGCAAAAAACATAATTTTTAACCAAGGAATAAAGTGAAAATAACTTATTAGAGAGATTGAGAGAGTGTGTAATGACATGGTGTGCAAGGATTTGGTGATATCTTACGTGATGATTGCCATTCCTGCGTATGGATACAGCCCATGGAAACTCTCCATCATAGCTATCATTGCCTCCAACCACTTTGGATGTCCTAATGATCTGCTGTTTGCCACATCCCGACGCTCTGCTATCTCGTGATGATTGCCATTCCTGCGTATGGATACAGCCCATGGAAACTCTCCATCATAGCTATCATTGCCTCCAACCACTTTGGATGTCCTAATGATCTGCTGTTTGCCACATCCCGACGCTCTGCTATCAACTCCAGTAGTGTTGAGTGAATACAAGAGAAGCACTAACAAGAGGAAGAGCATCATTATTGGCGATACCAATGATTTTCATAATTGTCATCAAGTGTTCACTATTTATACGAATAGTATTTCACGCGTTAACTGACACCCAATGTTGTCGTGTTGTCATAAGCCGAGTCCCACTGACCTCATTATAACCTCATTCCTCATCACAAGGAAAGCGATCCCCAAAGAGAGTTATGTGTGCTTCTCGTCCGCTTCACTACCGTCCCTCCCGTCCCTCTCAGCCCTCACATCGCTATCCCATATAAGCTTTCACAGTCATAATGCTGATAAATACAAGTTTTCGATATATATCCCAACTATACTACACTTATGCATACAGTATTACTCTATAAATAAGTATAGCTTTTATTTGTGATAAGTTTAAGTTCAAGTGCTTCTCCAACAAAACAGTTCTTGTTATGCAACTAATTGTGTGACCTTTTCCTAGGGATCACTGAAACACTATTTTTACCCACAATTCATGTGAAATCAAGTGAAATAAAAAATAAAAGGGTTTCAAAACCTGTGCAATTCATATCGATTGCAAACTAGAAAATTCACTATTTTTGGGAACAGTTTTGTTTGCAATGAAATGATATTCGCTTTTATTTGAAAATGAATATTCATTTACAGGAAGGAAGAGTGGATTGGATTGGGATGAGAGTGAAAATTACCGCAATTTATATGATTTTATCGTTTCATTTCAATCATAATATTTATGCTTTATTTCCGTTTTATAGTATTGTTTAGACTGCAAGTAGTCAAGTGTTTCTCCCATTCCATTGCTTTTAGTCTAAAGTGTTAGCAAGTTAATCAAATTCATTTTTACACATATTTATAATAATATTCAAATAATACTGATAATACGGTATCATTTAGACTCTTTTTTAGGGTCACTAAATGTATTCAACAGTATTTTGTTTCCAACACTAATGCATTTGTCGATTACAAGGGCTAACATTCATATATATTTTTATTGAACAATAAAATGAAAATTAGGATAAAAGATGTTTCTATTTTAATGCAATTAAACAAATAATTATTTTCTCAATTATTATTGGGTGCCTTAATAATGATGCTATATTTGAATAGATTTGCAGTAAGGAATAGATAGGGGATAGGGATAGACACTTAAGAGCACTGAAACTGTTGTATCGCACCGACAGAAAGCCTTATGTGAATGACAGTGCAGTAGATTTAGGAGCACATGATTGTATTGATTAGTAACACTAAATTACTTTATACTCACTCTAATTGCTTTTATATATACTATATAAATCCATTATATCTCATTGTATTTGTTTAAATCCATACGAAATATAATAAAATATTAGATAGGATTGAAAGATTTGACTTACATGTTATTTGTAGCTTTATTACAAAAATTGTCATATCCTATATTTATGAAAATAATTAATTCTTTATGTTTAGTATAATTATTTTTCAGTTAATGAAACAAATAATTACTAGTATTGGATACGGATTGTAAAAATCAGAAGACTTTATTTTTAATAGTGACTGAATTTAATGAAATGGATATCATGTCAACTCATTTGTGAATCTATTACTAATGAATGCTCACATTTAATTATTTATTATTTGAAAAAAGTTTCAATTCAATTTGCGTTACTTTATAAAAGACAAATACTTCTTAACATAAGTCTCTCATCTATTCAGTTAAACTGAATATCATTTTTCATTTATAATTGTTTCGAAATTTCTTTGTTCATAAAAACAATGTTCATTACACTTCATAAAAAACATGAAAACAATGTACATTTTATACATTGTATTTATATAATAGATTTGCAAATATTGCATGAGTCAAGAAATAAGTATTTTTTGTTATTTATTTTTGGGTAAAAATATTGCCATTTATTTATAGAAATATTTTCGACTTTTGTTATGTTTGGCTCAATCGGCCAAATAAAAGGCATTTATATATTTATAATTCATTCCTTCAATTGAAATATCTTTTGAATAAATGTCCGGCTTTTCAATCGATTTCCATTCAAATCTCTTGTGAAAATATATATACTTTTATTCATATTGTATGACATAAGTTATATAACTGCATGATATTTGGCATTAAATATTTGAGTCAAGAATTCAACGATACTTCGACTCAGTCTTGACTTAAACTTAAAATATTTTAATCGAAACTCAAAAATATCTTAAAAAGGATTCAAATGGATATAAGAAGTGCAGTTTTGGACACATATAGTTTGTATAATATATTTTATTTGACATCTTATTCATTGATAGTCTACTGTATATGATTGAGAGATCCAAATGGAAACCATTTTATGCCAATTCCTCTAAAAAGCGATTTCCGAAACACAGAAATTGTGTTTCCCTTGAAAATGGTTTTTAAATAAAAAATTTATGATTGAAATTATGTTTTACTATAACTTGATTTATGTAACTCATCCATCAATTCTCTATAGAGGAGTGTCTGCCAGAGGTCTCAACTTTTATTATAATATATTCATTGCCTTTTCAAAACATGTATTCAAATCAAACAAATTCTTGACAAAATTATTATAAAGGACATGATTTTTAATCCCAAGAGATGTTAATTAACTTTAATTGATTTCTCAGTATGCGTTTATAGAGTAGACGTTTTGCTTATGTTTTAATGGAAATAAATGATCAAATATTGTTTATTCAGTGCTCTATCTCTCTGTTCATTCACTTTAAGTTCAATGAATGTCTGAAAAGTCAAAAGTGTTTTTGTGTTTAATTAGAAAATGCAAATAATGTTGAAAATATTTTTCGCACCATTTTATTCAACACTTAGGATTGAAATGCGAGAAAATGTGCGAAAATGAGAAGTGAAATGAATTGTTGTCCTAATTGTCGTCAAATGACTTGCGAGTCAATCAACCCTCGATTTTGTCACTTATTTGTTACTCAAAAAGAAAAGAGTTTTTACGATATATTTCTTACATTTCTCTATTTTCTACTCGTTTTCTATCGTATAGTCGGCAACACATCCTCTAATTTGAGTTCAGGACATAAAAATGCCTAAAAATTATCTCTCGTTTTGCCATTGATTTTCACTTCACAACAACTCAATTATTGCTTATTAAAGCAAAAATCTCTCACAAGTCAGTCGTCAAACTTTACATAAAATAAGAGTTTATTTACACTCAAAGAGTATTATTTGTGAAAATAAACATAACTTGAGTGAGGATTGGGATCCTCTTCATTAGAGGGCTTATTGTATATCAACTGTTAATGTATTTTATTTGGAAATCAATATAATAAGAAATACAGAGAATTAAACGGAAGTACGGGTTTGTAAGTGTAGCCTAATTGCTATCGTTTTACTTTTGCTACAGTCATTAGTTGTGTCATTCAATTGCATTCATGTCTATATTGTTTCATAAATTTTATAGTCAAAACTGGTGTAACACTCGACTCTGAAGCCAATGATTAACTTAATGTGATTTGTGACGACCAAAAACTGAACCGTTTTAGACATATTGTATAATAAATGCCGAGACAATGATAGGTTAGTGTCAGGAAAGAAGTATATGTTTCCTATCGTTCACTATTGCTGTCATTTCAGTGCTGAGCAAATCCAAAATCAATATATTTAGACATTTTAAGCCAATATTTCGATTCTGTTTAACCATTTTCTCCTGTTTTTGTGTCAAAAAATATTTTCACAACAATTTTCTTACTTTTCTCTTAATTTCAAATTAACTGAATTTCCAAAAAGTCTTTTATTGATCTGTTATTGAAGTAGTAGTGAATGGAGTGAATGTCAGACTTTAGTTATTTTTGTTTATAATCCAATGCCTCGCAAAACATCTGAGTCTTTAAGACATGTTCTCATGTTTTGTTGTCATTTAGTTAATGAAAAAAATAGGAAATCAATGTCGAGGACAGACAGGAAGTAATGACTTAATTTAATATCAGTGAAGACCTGATGAGACTTTGAATCTAATTGTGAATACGAAACCGAATCCAATAAATAACTCATTTCTCGTCAATCAATGTATGCTTTGCTTTCATTATTAATCAATTATTTTATGAAAAATTGTAGTTTTATTTTAAAATTAATTCATTTCTTTAATTGAAATATTTGAAATAAGTCTAACTCATAATAATATTACAAAAATTATGATATTACTAGCTTAATTAGTTTTCTTGTATAATTGCAATTTAATGCATAAGATTATAATTAAGCTTATTAAATGAATATTAATTATTCACATCGATTGATGAATATTAATTAATTAATTATTAATAGTGAATTACATATTATGTTAAATATAATATAGAAATGATTTATTCAAACGTTTGGAATAATAATTGTATATCTCTTCAAAAATTAATGAAATTTTGTATTTTTTATATTTCAATTTATATGATATATTGAATCATTTGAGAATAAATCGTCAAATTTCTCATGAGACAAAGTAAAGCATCAAGATAAGAGTCTGTGAATATCATTTTCAACTTAAATTCAATATTTATTTTCAAAATTATGTTATACTCACTTGGTCAGATTTTTATTTTGCAATTTATATTTGTATTTTTGAAACAATTACTATATGAGTTGTTTATATATTTCCAACATTTCATTGAAATAGTAAACATATTTACAGTGAAATACTGATTTCTATAATAATGTATTCACAAACCTACTCATTGTATTTTAATCGCTATCTTATACAACGGATAAGTCGACGAAATGAGGCATTAATTTAATAAAATAATAAAATTTAATGTCATTTCATAAACAAGTATGTTGTACAGAATACGAATGAATGAATGAATAAATGCTTTGCATTTTTTATGAATACCAATTCATGTTATGCTAACCACCCAAATATAATTTTTAATTTCAATCAATTCTCTCCTTATTGTATATTATCTCTACATTTATAGCATTTTTTCATATTTTAAAAATTCAGAATCTAGTCATGAATTTGCTTTTTTATTACATTAACTATTATCAAAATTAGATAAAATTCTATATTAATTTATTTTAGTTTTTCTGAACAGTA